TAAGTACAACAGATCAAGTGGTCGACATATTTACCAAGGCACTCTCCACACTTCGATTTCACAAACTTCGTCATAAACTGATAGTAATGCTAGACCCATCAGTTTGCAGGGGAGTATTAGAACCATAAATATAAATATTCAAAATATTTTTTGTTACAAATTGTACTTTGTTTGAGGTGTAAATTTGTGAGTGGCTCTTCTCTTCTTGAATCGTACTACCCAGGTGTATTTAATAGACTTGAAGGCTATTGTGTAATACACAATAGATTGAATGCTACCTCTGTTCTTCGTCTCTCTTAGCAATTCTTTTCCTTCTTGATTCATTAGTTTCTTCACTAACATACCTTCAGAAAAGACTGAAACAGCCCAAAGCGTTGAAAACTATCCCAGTGCCCCGACAATGATTTTGGTTAATTGTGGCGCCCCCTACAAGGCCCTATGAAGAACCTCAACATTGACCACCTAAGAGGGAGTCATCCCGGTTAGGAGTGTAAGTGAGCCGAGTTGGCTCGAGCTCGACTCATTTATGGGCTCGCAAGTCGAGCTTATCGAGCTCACGAGTAGAGCCAGAGCTCGAGCTCGAGCTCGTTTAGTAAATGAGCTCGAGTTCGAGCTTGAGCCTGCTTTGCTCGAGAGCTAGCGAGACGACTTGAATAAATATTAATATTTTTAAAATAATTTTATTTTATTTATTAAATTTAAAAATAAAAAAAATAATAATCACCAAAATTTTATTTAAATGTTAAACATTTCATATTTTTTAAAAAAATTTGACTAAGTTTTAAAAATCTTGCTTAAGTTTTAAAAATCTAGCCTAATTTTAAAAATTTTTAAAAATCCCGCCTAAATTTAAAAAATCCAGCCCATGGCTGACGAGCCGGCTCGAGCTCATTTACAATGAGACGAGCTCGACTCGAGCTCGAGCTCGCTTTACATCTAACGAGCAGAGCTCGATAGGGGCCTAAACTCGACTCGACTCAACTCGTTTACACCCCTAGTCCCGGTCGTCACCCTCCTTCATCTACTTGTTGATTTCCAATAGGTCAAAAACATTGAAGTTTCTCAGTAAAATGAATTTTAGAGACTCTATCTTTCCTTGGATGGTGTCTAGTTAGGGAGAAATGTCTTAGTAGGAAACTTCAATTACAAATTGGAGAGATCAACGTCTATGGAAGGTGTTGCTTGCTTGGATAGTTCACCAACTTCCCAATTTGTTTGAGATTCTTGAAAGAAAGAGGAGTAAGCCTTTATATCATTTATACCTTCATTGAGAATGTTCTTCTTTTTCTTTTTAGTTCCTCTTCTAGTTACTATATAACATGTCCCATACCTTGAGAAAGGTTGAAACAACCCAAAGGGCTAAAAAAGTATCCTAGTGCTCCAGTAATGATTTAGGTAGATTGTGGTGCCTCATACAAGGCCATATGGGGAACCTCAACATTGACCACCTAAGCAAGAGTTGTCCCCACCTCCCTCCTGCTTGTTGATTTCCAATAGATCCTAAACGTTGAAGTTTCATAACAAAATGAATCTTAGAGACTATATCTTTCCTTTGATGGCGCCTGGTCAGGTTTTGGAGAAATGTCTCAGTAGGAAACTCCAACTGCAAGTTGGAGAAATCAATGTTCATTGAAGTTATTGCTTGCTTGGTCGGTTTACCAACTTCCCAATTTGTGTGAGATACTTGCAAGGAAGACGAGTAACCTTTATGTCTTTTACACCTTCATTGAGAATGTTCTTCTTTTGCTTCATAGTTCCTCTTCTAATTACTAGACACCATGTCCCATTTTTTTGGATTTTCCTCCCCACCATCAATGTGAGAAAACATAACAGATTCATTCAAACTTTGAAAGGTTCAAACAACCAAGAGGGCTGAAAAATATATCAGTGCTCTCGCAATGATTTAAGTAGATCATGTCGCCCCCTACAAGATCCTATGGAGAACCTCAACATTGACCACCTGAGCGGGAGTTGTCCCCGCACACTCCTTCCGCTTGTTGATTTCTAATATGTCATAAACGTTGAAGTTTCTTAGCAAAATGAGTCTTAAAGACTTTATCTTTCCTTGGATGGTGCTAGTTAGGTTTTGGTGAAATGTCTCAATACAAAACTTCAATTGCAAATTGGAGAGATCAATGTTTATAGAAGGTGCTGCTTGCTTGGATGGTATACCAACCTCTCAATTTGTGTGAGATGCTTGCAAGGAAGAGGAGTAACCTTTATGTCTTTTATACCTTCATTGAGAATATTCTTCTTTTGTTTCATAGTTTCTCTTCTAGGTACTAGAGTACACCATGCCTCGTAACTTTATGGATTTTCCTCACTACCATCAATGTGAGAAAACATAAAATGTTCTTTCTTGCTTTGATTGTTTGTAAATTGTTGAAGATTAGAGTGCATGGGCTCCTTTTGGGGTGGCTGGTAGACTGACTGGATCATGGAAGAAGAATACAGGTCATTAGTCACCTTTGGAGAGCTACTATTAGTGGCATGAGAGTCACTATAAGAGGGGATGCTACTATTTTTGAGCAAAATAGGAGGCTGATGTTTGAATTTCGCCTAATTTGCTTGCATTTCAGTTGAACTTTTTTGTGCTTGTTGGAGGGTTGAGAGGCATTAGGACATTGGCTAGTTTGTGCCTAACATAACCACATTGGAAGTTGGGAGATCCCCTCATATTCCAGCTTTTGGAAGAATTTGCCATGTAGACCCGAGATCCAAAATCCAGGAGGTAGCTTGGTACCAAGATCCATCCAAATGCATACACGAGCAAATGAATTCCTTCCCCACACTTTTTTTTGTACATAGGATAGAATGGATTTCAACCTTCGCCAAATTTTGACTATCCAGCAATGCTAGTATTTGGGAAACCACAGCCACCGAAGCCTTGGCGGGAAGAAACCCCGAGAGCAGTAATACAGTTCAGTCCCTGACACGAACGGTGATGCTTGAATAAAGTTCATGTGGCTTTAAGGGTGTCAGGCGGAACGAAATTGGTGCCTTTGGCATCCACTTGTCCGGACTCTTTAGACGCCAAATCATCTCTGAATTATTCATGCTTGATTATTTATATTCGTGATACAACTTAGCATTACAACAACAAGAATGCTTTTGTTCCCACTATTAGTGATTGGCTACGTGAATTATTTTCTGAAGTATTTAAGATTAGTATGAAATAGTTCTCTTATTATTTTTTTAAAATAGTAAAAAAAAAATAATTCAATAAATTATTATATTAAAAACTATTTTAAAAATAATAAGAAAGCTATCTCAAATGAAATCTAAGATTTCATTATAATTTTTACTTACACATGTAATTCAAGCCCCCTCCGATGTTTTATGTCTCAGAATATTTTTTAAAATAGTATATTTATGTCCCCAACTAAGAAAAATTTATAGCCCTGCTATCATTTTCTCTCAAGATATTTTGTTGGTTAGAATCCCACAAGTACATCATTTATGAATCAAGCTTTGCTTCTACATGTTGATTTTAAGGTTATTTAAAAAAAAAACTTTTAAGGGGAGAGTTTATAAAAGAATAAAATGTTATATGCAAATTATAAAAAATATACATGATTTAATAATAAAAGTAATAAATTCAGCTTCACATATCAATAAATTATTAAATCATTGAGAGAAAGATATAAAGAGATTTATAAATAAAAACATTAATACATCATTGATAAAGTTTTGATAAAAAAAATAAATGTTAAAATTATTAAATTTGATTTAAATTAAGTGTAATATAAAATTTATTTGATTTCTTACATATTACAAATCTCAAAATGGTTTTAACATAAGAATTGACCAAATTTAGTTTATGATAATTTGGGATAAGTCTAAAAATAATAAATTTATTATAAATTGCATGTATTATTAAATTTTAATAAATTAAATTTATCTTAAAAAAAGAATAATTTTAAGATTCCTGTTTCCTAAGGCTTCATTTGCGACAACTTTCTTACTACTTTATTTTTAATACAGCAATTACAATTTTTATTTAGCTAATATTTTTTTGATGCTTCCAAAAAATTATTATACGAAAAAACTATTTTTTATTATAAAATTTAAAATATTAATTTCTATATAATAATTTTATAAACATTTTTTATAAAAAAATTACCGTGGTCATAAATGAGATAAACTATTTTGTGAAGAATCCGAACGAGAAAAATAATTTGTACTGTGAGTATACACACTGTGCACATAACGTACACAGTATGTGTCATATTTATGTACACATATTGTATGTAGACACTCACATATTCGAATGATTATTTTTATTCGAACTTCGCATAAAATATTTTCCCCACATATCTCTCATATGGGAGAAATTATTGGGTCAGGTCATCGAACACAGCTTACGTTCGATATTCACAGTGCTGAGTACCGAGCAGTACTGAGCTTGATATTGAGTAGTACTGAGCTCGGTGCTGCTTGGTACTGCTTAGTACCGAGTAGGAAGTGATGTGACGCATCTTTATTGGACTCCAAACAAATCCGATGACCTCACCCAATAATTTCCCCTCATATGGTCCCTAACTTTACCTTAAAAGGGCAATCTTGATCTATTTTTTCTCACTATCTCTTTTATCTTTCCTTTATAACAGTACCTAACTGGTAATTTAAATCCATAAATGAGGCTTCGAACACTGTCGGTAATCTCACCTCGACATGTGCTCCTGATATTAACCCTTCACGGGATCGGGAACGGCATCTCGCATTTGTAACAAAATAATATCACGGTGATCCTCAAGAACGAACTTCTATCCAGTCCCCATACCCTTCAGCCTATCAGCAAGAAGATTTGTTCCAGTTAATTCTCCGAACGGTTATTGGTATCCGGCGGAACACCGGGATACGACACCATTTCCACTCACAGTTTCTTCCACCAAGCATTCAATTCGATCAAACTTATTGCTTAAATAGCCTTACCGGAAGGACAGGCTAAAGACTAAAGAGTTTGACTCGCTTTCCTGCTCGTTGTCCAAATCGCGGTACCGTCACCTCCTGAAGAGGGGTGGGTTGTAAATCCTCTTCAAGTGGTCCAGTCACCAGTGCGCGTCTTCTTCATTCACTCTTTGTTGTCCTCCAAGCTTTTAAACCTCCTGCATCTCCACTTCCCAACAATTTACGGAGAACTCGCGCACACGCGCTCTCTCTCTCTCTTCTCTCTCTCTCTCCACTAGGGTTTTACTGGAGAAAAAGGCCGAGTAGTGGAATACAGCAATGCCGGGAATGCTCTTAATGCGTCTCTTCTGATGTTCCTTCAAAGAGATTTAAAGAGAGTGGAGGACAGGAGTTGAAGAGCAATGTGGTGAGCTAGGGCAGGGTTCGGGTTTTTGCTTTCTTCTCCCTATTTCCTCGACCTGTTTGAAAGGAATGGGAATCTGCAGCGGGAAGCCGTTGCCACCACAGAACGAGAGCGGCTCCGATTCTCCATCTTCGAAGAAAAAGGAGGACAAGGAGGTGAAGCATGAGGATGGGGAAAAGGAGGAGAAGGGGATGAGGAAGGAAGCAGTGGCGGAGGAGAAGGGCGGAAGCAAACCGTGGGCTTCGCCGTTCTTTCCATTCTACACTCCCAGCCCCGCGCACAGCCTCTTCTGGAAGAAATCACCATCGAATGGTAGGGTCTCTGCAAGTGCGACTCCTGGTAGATTCTTCAAACCGTTCTTGCCACCCTCACCTGCGAAGCACATCAGGGCTTTGCTGGCAAGGCGGCAGGGGTTGCTGAAGTCCAATGAGGCTGCGATTAGTGATGGCGAGGTGGGCCGTGGTTCTGCAGTGGCATTGGACAAAAATTTTGGGTTCTCGAAGGGATTTGAGAGCAAGTATGAGCTTGGGGAGGAGGTGGGAAGGGGGCATTTTGGCTATACTTGTTGTGCAAGATCCAAGAAGGGCGAGCTTAAGGGAGAGATGGTAGCCGTTAAAATTATTCCCAAGGCCAAGGTTCAAAACCACTCCTTTTTACTAGGTCGTCAGATTCGGTTTTTTCCATGATGCATTTTTCAGCATCGTATGCTAATCATTTGATAATATTTTTATGAGCCATTGATGTGCTGGTTTCATGAAAATGATTATTTATTTATGCTAACAGCCTTGTTCTCAGTGGAAGGCGGCGGCGGTGGTGATTCTTTAGTGCATGAGGCTCTCACAATGTAGGCCCGGAGCATTGCACAACCTCACCCGCTTTCATTGCAAAGAGGCTATTTTCTTGATCCAAATAGTTACCTTTAGGTCTTTGTGAAGACAATTTAACCATCTAGCTAGGCCTGCCCTCGAGCCTAACTCATCCAATCTCTCTTTTTTATTCATTGATCAAAGTATTTGAGAATCACCATATCAATAGACGTTCACTATTGGTTTCTGACTATTATCATTCCCCTTAACTATGCGTACTTGATTCATTTATATAAATTTTAAGTAACCAAACCCATTTGCTTATAGCTTTATAGTGGACTAATCACATTAATTATCTCGGCTATTTACTTTGTTGGTGCCTTGATTCTAGATTATAAAATGGAAAAAATAATAATTCTATAATTTGTCTTTAAACTGGCTTGAATCATCTGACTTGGGTTTAATGGATGAGTTTTTCTCTTTTGGCAGATGACTACTTCCATAGCTGTAGAGGATGTAAGAAGAGAGGTAAAGATTTTGAGAGCTTTGACAGGGCATGACAATCTTGTCCAATTTTTTGATGCATACGAAGACAGCGAAAATGTGTACATAATAATGGAGTAAGTCTGTTTTGTGTTAAATGCCTCTTACAGATAAAAAATCATTTTCACTCTTAATTTTGCATAAAGAGTTGATGTCCAAAACAATTTGAATATGGCTATCTTTTTCTTCTTGGTATCAATCAAGAGAAGATTTTTACTTATTTGTTCCAGTCAAAAAATACTTGAGTACCCTCTTTGATGCAAAAGTATTTGAATATTCTTGGTGCAATCGTAGTACGCTTTTCTTCCAAAAGCATCTATTTTAGCACAAACGTGTATTGGTTGAGTGACCAATCATCGTTCATAGTATTCTTTTGTATTTGATAAGTGTAAAAGTTTTTTAGTTTTCTTGTAGAAAATTTGAAACCATGCATTTCCTTGAAAAGCATTATAGATAAGTAACGTTCAAGATGTCTCCACTTGTCTTGTTAGACCAGGAACGGTTTCTATTAATTTGTTGTTTTAGCTTCTTAGTTTAATCTTTCACAGAGGACATATATTTCGAATATTCTATTACAATGAACTACTGCTGTGGTGATGTTTATATATCAATTTCTAATAATCTGTATTAGGTATCTTGAAATAAATTTAGGCCAAGTTTGTTAATTATTTTCTTCTACTCTGCTTTCCAATAAATTGTCATATAACATTTTTGATTTGACTGGATGCTCAATTTATCTCATCTACGGTTTCATGACCATAGGAAACACATTGGCAGAGCAGCTCTTACATCTGCGCAAGAATTGGTCAATATAATTCAAAAATAAAATGCTACATAGCTACATTAGAACACACCAAACCAAGCCTTTATTTTACACTTTTAAAGATGTAATTTTTTTATGCAGTGTCTTTCTTTTGTATCCTTTCAAATATGAAAAATCTTTTTTTGCCCCTCTCAGAACTTTTGTTGTGCGTTACATCTAATATAATTTTCCATTAGATTATGATGTTATAGCTCATCTATTTCAGATTATGTGAAGGAGGAGAGCTTTTGGATAGAATACTTTCAAGGTTTGTTTTTTTTTTTGCATTGTACAATGCCATCTAAGAATCAAATTTCTGGCTTGACTTGGTTAATTGTAACCACTTTACTGTCATGGGTGCACCTTGCCTTTAATAGGGGAGGGAAATATTCAGAAGAAGATGCAAAAACTGTCATGGTTCAAATATTGAAGGTTGTTGCATTTTGCCATCTCCAAGGAGTGGTTCATCGTGATCTTAAACCAGAGGTAAGTAATAGTTGTTTTGGCTATCATCTTTGTCAATTTGGATTCTTGGTTTTTCTTTACTTCCATAAGTTGGTTAAATAAACTTAAATTTTCTAGAACTTGTTTTGAAAGGGCACCATCCCATTTTAAATTTCTTGTATTATTCATTCTTTTGATTTTTTTGAAGAAAAAATTTCTTGTCTTATATGATTATTTAATGGTGTCCAAAAGAGCTCACTCACCCCTTACATGGAATCCGAGGATGATATATATTTTTAGGTAGTAGATTAAGCATTAGATATCCACTGAAATTTCACTTTTAAACATGATTTTATGTTATTGGTTTAAAATTTCTTATAGGTGTATGCCCCCATGGACTTTTGGCAATTACCTCTTTCGATCTCTTGAGAGAATTCCCAATGAATGATGTCATATGGTTGCATTTAAATTTTATATTGCATATGATCTCTCATATCTTGTAAGAATACTATGCTACATGCTTAGAGGAAGTGAGGGTAAACCTTCTTAAGATTTGTAGTTTCACCATTTAGGGCCCACATAAATTTTACTTAGATCCATAGTTCTATTATTTAGGGTTTATAGGTGTAATCCAATCTAAATAGTCATAGGATACCAGTTTTTTGGGTCCTTGACTTTAGGAGCTTGGCGAGGTACCATAGTGTCCTCTGTTTAAGGTACCCCATAGAGTAGGGGTGGAAGGGCACATCACGAGGATGGCAATTACTAGGCAAACCTCGACCAACAAAAGACTTTCTACACTAGCAGATGAGCTATATAGCTGATGCAGCAAAAAAATACTACACTAAGATTACAAACTATAAGACATCTTTTCGTCTTTAAAACAGAGACAAATATAAACAAGATAATAATATTATTAAAACAAAGACACACTACAACTTATAAAAAACTTGAGAAGAAAGATACAGGTGAAATGAGCACCATATAGAGAAGAAGTAGGTAGAAGTCCAAAAAGAATTTTTTTGGAGATAGGGAGGTAGAAGACAATTGCTTGCAAGCTATATAAACTCGCAGGTTTTTGTTTTAAACATTCTTCACAAAACCCCCTTTTTCAGCAGCCAAAACAACCTTATATATAGGGAAAAAGGTCCAAATTGCCCACATAAATGTGCGACCCCAAGTAACCAATAGAAACCACCTCTTGAGAAGATCAATCATCAGTCTAGGAAACAACAAGGATGGGAAATGAACAGCCACCAATAAAAATATTGTATGGAAAACAGAAATATGCATGGGAATCATAAGTAGAAATTCCATTTATTGCATGGGAAAACCTAGGGGTGTCAATTTCGGGTCACGGGTCGGGTTTGGGTCGAACCCAAAACTGCCGAACCCGACCCGTTTTTGAAAACGGGTCAGTTTTCCTGACCCGAACCTGACCCGTTTCGGGTCCGGGTCAACCCGACACAACCCGAATGACCCGTTTCCAACAAAAAATTGCTAGTTTTCGGGTAAAAAATGGGTATCTCCTCTTTTTCGGGTAAAAAACGGGTCTATCTCCTCTTTTTTCGGGTAAAAAACGGATCAAAATCGGGTCAATCTCAGGTTGCCGGGTTTTTTGGTCAAAATTGGGTCAATTTCGGGTCAAAGGGTTAACTCGAGCCCGACCCGATTTTTGAAACGGGTCAAAATGTTGAACCCGACCCGTTTCGGATTCGGGGTGACCCGAACCCGAAATTTTCGTGTCGGGTTCGAGTCGGGTTTTCGGGTCGTGTCAAATATTGACACCCCTAGGAAAACCAAAGGCTACAGAAAAATAGAAACCAGCTGGGAAACCAAGGGCTGCAGGGAATCTGAAACCTGTTTGGAGAACACCAAGCAACCATCCAACAAGGTAGAAATGGGCCAGGCCCAATAAGGAAAAATCAGCAACATTTTCGGGTAAAAAAGGGGTCAATCTCAGGTTGCCGGGTTTTCTGGTCAAAATTGGGTCAATTTCGGGTCAAAGGGTTAACTCGAGCCCGACCCGATTTTTGAAACGAGTCGAAATGTTGAACCCGACCCGTTTCGGATTCGGGGTGACCCGAACCCGAAATTTTCGTGTCGGGTTTTCGGGTCGTGTCAAATATTGACACCCCTAGGAAAACCAAAGGCTGCCGAAAAATAGAAACCAGCTGGGAAACCAAGGGCTGCAGGGAATCCGAAACCTGTTTGGAGAACACCAAGCAACCATCCAACAAGGTAGAAATGGGCCAGGCCCAATAAGGAAAAATCAGCAACAAAATTTAAATACCCATTTAGCCACCAAAGAGCAAGGAAACGACTTTATTATAAAGAAAATAAAACTAGCTTTGCCTACATCAATTCTTCGCAGGCGGAGAAATCTCATCCCCTGATGACATTGCCTTAGAACCTCTAAGTTGTTCCGAATGCACCTTTTTCGTTTATTGAATTAAATTGTCATACTTCCTTTGAATCTTTTCCTTTTCTTTTCAAACTTGGATTGAAGTAGATGTTTATTATTTTCATCTCTCTTTGCACATAAATACAATTGTCTTCGAATTTTGAGAAGCTCGTTTTGGAGTGGATTAGAAGAACATGCTTGAGGTGGTATCCATTTTGTTGTTGAAAATTTATCCTATGGAATCCAAGGAATAGTTAACGGACCTTCAAAAGCTGTAGGACCAAATTCATCTTGAATAGGAACTTTAACTTGTAGATTGTTTTGACTTTTCATTTTTTTTTGTTTTTAATTTTTAAAGAGAAAGAAGGTGACAGGACAACCTAGTTCTTTGATACCAAATTGATGCAAACAAAAATTAAACACTACACTAAAATTGCAAACTAGAATACAATTTTTCTTCCTTAAAACATAGGCAAACATAAACAAGATAACAAAATTATTAAAACAAAGACACTACAACTTATAAAAACTTGAGAAGATAGATACAAGTGGAATGGAAACCATTGAGAGAAGAAGTAGGTAGAAGTCAAAGACGATTTTTTTAGGAGATAAGGAGATAGAAGATATAATAGCTTGCAAGCTATATAATTCCACATATTTTTGTTCCAAACATTCTTCACAAAACCTCCTTTTCCAGCAACCAAAATAACCCTATAATCTATATATAGGGAAAAAAAGGTAATTGCCCACATAAATGTGCCACCCCAAGTAACCAATAGAAACCATCTCTTGAGAAGATAAATCATCAGTCTAGGAAACATCAAGGATGAGAAACGAGCAACCACCAGTAAAAATTTTGTATGGAAAACCGAAATCTGAATGGGAATCATAAAGCAGAAATTCCATTTACTGCATGTGAATGTCGCCGTAGATGTCATACATGAATCTGCTATCAAGCTCAGGATCCGCCATGCGTCATTTACACGGGGAGGGGCGGCGTAGTCCTCTTCTTCTTTGAATTCAAGTGTTATGAGCATCCAACTTCACCCGAGAGGGAAAGGGGAGGGGTCGGCCAAGGTTGGGAGAGAGGGGCGGGTGGATTGGGAGAGCAAGTATAGGGTAGATGAGGGGGAGAAGGGATTTACTCAATTCTGAAATTAGTTTCAGATTTAAGTAAATTTGGAGGGAATTTGATTTAAAATTTGAATCCCAAACCTCTTGTGATCAATGCCATAAAGTGGCATTTAATGGGAATTGATCCCAAGCAAGGCCGGCGGCCAAGAGAGGGGAGAGGAGGGGATTAATTCCCAATCCTGAAATTAATTTTAGGATTAAGTAAATTGGGAGGGAAATTTTTATTTGAAATCAATTTCAATTTCAAATATGATGTGGCATTAAAGAGGTAATCAAAGGGGGAAACCCATTATAGGGCCGGCGGCATGGTGAGGAGGAGAGGGAAATTAGGGAGGGAGTATGCGCTTTCGAATTGGATCGATGCCACCTAGGATGAAAATTAATAAATCCACATGTCATGAGATTTGGGGTGGATCAACTCGAAACTTTCCTTTTTTGGAAACTTTCGAATATAGAAAGTTTTTGAATTTCAAATTTCGAAATTCAAAATTCGTTAACTCCTTTATTTATTGCTAGGCAACAATCAAGGAACCGTTAGGAGGACTGATGTCGTCACCATGGCTTGGGCAGGGGGGGTGGCCGGCGGCTAATGGAGGAAGAGGGGAATGGCCGACGGGTTTGGGTGGGGAATTTTTAACGGAGTTTGGAGTTTTAGTGGTGGAAACGAGTGAATGACGTGTTGGAGGAATGGATCTCGGGTGGAGATTGGCGTGGAGACAAGGAGAACCAAAATTTAGAAAAGAAAACAATAAGATAACTTGAACTACGAGTCGAGGACGCTTCCAACGACTGGTGGGTATTGCAAATGCTCACCTTGAGCTCAATCACCCTTCTCTAGCTCTCATGCAATAAGAAGAAGATAACATAAAATTTCATTCAAATATTCATTAGCTATTACAAGAGAAAAGACCTATATATATATATATAAGTCTCAAGCATACAAGAAGAAATAAAGACTAAATTACCCTCAGGGCCCCAACATGACTCAACTCAAAATAAGGGTACAATTGGAAAACATAAAATAAAATGCATAAACAACTAGAAATATAAGCTCTGAATCATGGCCATCGATTTGCGATGCTTTCGGCGATACACATGTTTGAACCTTGGATCGATGTCCTCATCACCCCACCATTCAAATTTATCTTTTAATAACATAAAATTTTTAGAAGTTAAGAGGACCATTTTAAAAAAGGGCTCATTGTTTTTTTTTTTTTTAATAAATTTTGGAGGTCACTTTCTCTCTTTAAATAAGTATATATTTTGTTTTTATTTTAGAACTTTTGGGACATAAAGCTATGCGGATACCTATACGGAAAGATATTTAATGAATTTTGGATAATGCAATATTTTTAATTATATTTCTTTCTTCAGATGGGCCTTTTCTCTCACCCTAGTGAAGAAAGGTGATGCATTTATGAAGTGACTGATTTTTATGGTGACTGAACCTGATCTTAAATAGCTGCAGCTATAGAATTTCAATTAGTAAAATATAGCAATGAAATGTGATAAATGTTAATCCACATTTGTGTCTAGGTACTTAGGTTAGTTGTGAATAAGGTTGTAATTCACTTCCAATTATTTAAATGAAGAACAAACTCATCACTCTGTCTCCATATATCTAAGTAAGAAACTACTATAAGTATCTAATAGTAATTTCTTTACAGTTAGTGTCATTTCTAGAACCCGGGATTTACCCATCCATTCATTTAGACATTCTTTCTATCCATGTGGCATTTTTTTATTGGTCCGTTTCAACTTTGATGCGGTCACTCTGTGCTAGTTAGGACCACAAACTTGTCCTGTACTTCTCCCTGTTATTTCATCTAAGTCCAAATGTTATAATTCTTCATTATATGATGAAACTCGTCAAATTTTATGATGTGATTATTTGTTGCGTTGCTATTTGATAATTTTATGGAATTTGATTCTTGTCTTTTCATATTAGCCAATAAGAAGGTAACCCCATATTATGCATCTGAGAATAAAAAAAAAGGTGTAATGTAACTAATTTTAAAAAGTTATTCTTCATTTATCTTTAGGGTACTTATTTATAGGATCACTAACTATTAGATCTCAAGCTTATCCATCCTTGACTTGAGATCAGTTCAAAGTCATTCAATTCTATCTTGACTTAAGCCAAATTTAGTTATAAATTCTCTTGATTTGATTATCAAGCAAACGTCAATTTTTGAGTTTAATTTAGAAGGATGAATTAACAAATTTTTTGTGACTTTAATAATATGGTAAATTAAAAAAATAAAATGATTAAAATAATAATTTGCAAGCATTATTTTATTAATATTATAACATTTAAACTTATAATATTTTATTTTAGATAAATAGGTTAATTGCATTTTGTTAAGATTAGAGACTTTTGAATAATTAGGAGAAAAGTTCTTACAAATTAATTCTTTATGTATGCTAAGGAAAAAGAGTTGAACAAAAGTAGAATCTAATATGTAAATTGTTTTAGATATGTTAAAAATGTTCAAAAATTAAGAGAACCTCATTTTAAAACTGAGCTTTTACCATATGTTAGGTTTTAAAATTTGTATGTGGATAATTTGAAGAGTTTATGATATGTACATTTGATTATATATTAAATAGATTTTGTGGATGACTTGACCTTTTTATAATTAAATAAAGAAATGTTTCTTTTCTACTAAAAGGATAAAATTGTCCAAATTTTGAAAGAACCCCATTTCAAAATAGAGCTCTCTTGTTGTTTTGAAATTTTGGAGTGAACTTTCTTTCTCATTGTAGCTTAGTAATATGCACGTAGATGAATAGATATGGATTGTTAGAAGAGTGCTTGGTATATAAATTTGATGATTTATTAAATTAATTTGATAGATGTACCTTGCCATTTTTTTTTGGACTTACAAAGTTTAAATAAAGAAATGTTTTTTTCTCTATTTAAAGAACAACTTTTTTAAATTTTGAGTGAACCCTATTTCAAAATGGAGCTCTCTTTTTGCTTTGGAGTTTTAGAGGGAATTTTCTTTATTGTAATTTTTTGATATATATGTAGATGGTGTGGCCATCCGTATACTTAAAGCTTTTTTTTTTTTTTTTTGCAAAATTCTTCCAAGCTGTATAGATTTTTACAAGATTTTAACTTTGGTTGTTGGCTTCATCAGAATTTCCTTTTTACTTCCAAGGTAGAAAGTTCACAGTTGAAGGCTATTGATTTTGGTCTGTCGGACTTCGTGAAGCCAGGTTTGTTCCTACTGGTCACCCTTGGTTTTTCCTTGTTATTCTCATTAGCTTTGGCAGTTTAATTATATTAAATTTGGAACTTATGCATGCTAATTTTTTGAAATGGTCTTTACTTGCTTAAGTGGATTGCAGATGAGAGGCTGAATGATATTGTTGGAAGTGCATACTATGTTGCACCTGAGGTCCTGCATCGATCCTATGGCACAGAAGCTGATGTATGGAGCATTGGTGTGATTGCTTTCATACTACTCTGTGGTAGTCGTCCTTTTTGGGCTAGAACTGAGTCTGGTATCTTCAGGGCAGTTTTGAAAGCTGATCCAAGTTTTAATGAACCACCTTGGCCTTCATTGTCTCTTGAAGCTAAAGATTTTGTTAAGCGCTTGTTGAGTAAAGATCCACGAAGAAGAATGACAGCTGCACAGGCCTTGAGTAAGAAATTTTGAAATTGCTTCAAATTTCTCTACTTAATTATGTCAAAGTATTTGTTCTTAGCTTTATAAACTGTTTATGCCTGCAATTCCTCATGCAGACCTTTAGCTATATGTGGGCTTAGTTTTAAACTGTTTAGTTGATTTGCTTCTTTTCTTTATTAAATTTTTGATCTTGTTCATTTTTCACATCTTATCCTAGTTTATTTTAATGACCTTTTATGTGGAGAATATGTAGCTTTTGTGGAGGGTGTTGACTAAAAAAAAAGAGAGAAATGAATGAAATAAACAAAATAATGAAAAGAAAAAATCGAATAGATGTAGCTCTTTGTGATTATGATATGGCCCCATCTCAAACAGTTGAACTCCAAAAGACACTACTCTTGATTAAGATAATTTCTTTTTAGTAGTCTAAGCTAAGGAAAAAAAATCGAATAGAAAAGTACTTACACTCTCTGTTCAAAATCCTCACTTATCGTCTGAACCTAAACAACACCCCCAGTTGGCTTCATTCCCGTCTCTGCACGCTCAAACGCCAAACCTACCGCTTGTCTTCGTTTCTTTCACGACATTCGAACCAGTCAACACGACTAGTTTCGCCTCTCACAAGCCGCCAATCAAACCAAGCGGCCCAACTGAGCCACTTTCGCATATCACCCTCGCCTGCACACATCGGAAACGAGCTCGCCTCTCATATGTCTGACCCACATCAAACAGACCCGCATCAGACCGACATGCCTCTGCCTTCACACGCCCAATATGCCTATTTCCCTCCTGTCACGCCCCAACCTACGCCAATCAGCCCCAAATCCAACCGTTGAACTGATTTGACCGAACTCCTTGTCTCCGGCCTCACCCAACAAGTAACTTGCTTGCTTCCGTCTACAGAGATATTATAACAATTCGTCTGTTTACTTGCCGTAGGTGAACTTCCTCAAAAATTATACATGCTTATTGCCTTGTTAACTTAGCCCTCAACCTCAATCTTTTGCATTTACAATTGCTCTAATTAACATGATTTTGAGCAATTAAGTAAATCAGTGTATAATTGAATAATTATCATAATTATTTTATATAAAAACAACATGTATTCGCCTATTCGTAGACTCACGTCATGATCTTTAATTAGGGTGGATGATTTTAATTTTTGAAGACTTGTGTCATTGGTTTTTAATCCGGGAAGACGAATTTGATAAATTGAAGACCTCACACAATTGATTTTTGATCATGGCTAGATGGTTTTTAAATTAGAAGACCTAACGTCGTCGACCTTAAGTCCAGGTGGGAAGAAACAATGGAAAGTGTTGCCCCGATTAAATTAAGTGAATTAAAAACCATCTCACCAAGTATGCCGTCGAACTTTTAAGTTTTTTATTATTTTTATTGATTATTTAATTATTAAAGTTGATTAAGTGGATTTTAATTAAAGTTTTAATTTGATTTATATATACATATATATATATATATATAATTATGTTTTAATTATTTAAATGATGAAATAAATTATGCTTTTTTTAAACTTTAATTAGATTGATTAGTTTAAAAGTTCATATTAATTAATTAATCGAATTAATCACTGCTTTTCAAACACTTCAAACACTCCAAAAGAAAAGTTATGCAATCTTATGAGGAATTTTAGCAGCCTCCCGACGGCATTTGCCGTTGTTTCTTCCACTCGGACCTAAGGTCGATGACATATGGTCTTCTAATTTAAAAATCATCTCACCAAGATCAGAGATCAACTGCGCGAAGTCTTTTATTTATCAAATTCATTTGTCCTGATTAAAAATCAAATGCGCAGGTCTTCAAAAATTAAAACCATCCGCCATGGTTAAAAATCATGGCGCGAGTCTTCGAATCGGCGAATACCTATTGCTTTTTATATAAAATAATAATGATAATTATTCAATTATACATTGATTTACTTAATTGCTCAAAATCCTGTTAGTTAGAGCAATTATAAATGTCAAAGATTTAGGCCGAGGGCTCGATTAACAAGACAATAAGCATGTATAATTTCTGAGGCAGTTCACCTATGGTAAGAAACATGTGAATTGTTATAATCTCTCTATAAAAGGAAGCAAGCAATAACTTGTTGGGTGAAATCGGAGACGGGGAGTCGGTCAAATCAGTTCGGTGACAGGACTGTTGAGGCATGACAGGAGAGAAGTAGGTGGACTGGGCGTGTGAAGGCAGAGGCGGTAGGTCTGATGTGGGTAGGCGGGCTCGTTTTTGGCATGTGGTAGCATGGGCGATGTGCGAAAGCGGCTCAGTTAGGCTTCTCGGTTTGATTGGCGGCTTGTGAGAGGCGAAACCAGTCGTGCGGGCTGGTTCGGATGTCGTGAAAAAGTCGAAGATTTGAGGTAGGTCCCGCGTTTGAGCGTGCAAAGATATGAATGAAGCTGGCTAGGGGGGTTGTTCAAGCTCGGACGGGAGGCGAGGATTTCGATTAGAGAGCATAAGTTCTTTTCCATTCGTTTTTTTCCCTCTTATTGCTTAGACTACTAAAAGGCAGTTATCTTAATCTAGAGTTGTGTCTTTTGGTGTTCGACTATTTGAGATGGGGTTGAATCAAAATCATGAAGACATAAATCTCTTCGATTTTTCCTTTTCATTATTTTGTTTATTTTGTTCATTTATCTCTCTCTCTCTCTCTTAGTCAACAGAGGTTTGTTAGAGGATAGAAGAGGATGAATATATGAAAATAATGCTCTCGCAATGGGTTTAGTTACTTTTCACGTGAGCCATTAGTTTGTATCTTGTGAGTATTAATTTTTTTGTTCCATGAACAATAACTCTACTTTTTTCGTAAAAAATAATTTTTTTATTTTGTAGGAATTGATTTTGCTATTTTGTGTCAAAAAATAGGTGGAAAATGGGTGGGAGTGCTATAAGCTTTTGAAAATCAGAAAAAAAATTCGTTTAATGGATTAATATCTTCGGGATTCTTTTCTTGTGTGCGGTGAAACTTTTTGTAATGAATGATTTCATAGTTATTTAAAATGATGGCTTGTTGCTTGTATGAATAGGAAACCTTTATTATAAAGATACTAAGTTAAGTGTTGCAGAGATGAGGATACTTAGGTGGATGAGTGGCTTTACTCTTAGAGATAGGATACGAAATGAGCATATACGTGAAAAGGTTGGAGAAGCTCCAATTGAAGATAAGATTAGAGAGAGTCGCCTTAGATGGTTTGATCACATACTCACATTAAACGGAGGCCTTATGATGACCCGATTATGAAAGTTGAGGTATTAGATTTGACTTATGTTAAGAAAGGTAGAGCTAGACCTAAAAAGATTTGGTTATAAAGTATTAGAAATGATATTTCTTTATTAGATTTAAATGAGAATTTGACTTTTAACATGACACAATGACGAAAAAGGATTCATGTAGTCGACCCCACGTAGTGGGACAAAGGCTTGAGGTTGTTGTTGTTGTTATGGGGGGGGGGGGGGGGGGGTTCCGAGTTTTAATTTTATTGTTCCATCATCCGCGCTTTACTTTTTTGTGAAGATTGCAAGTATGGAAGGAGTTGGGGGTTCCGAGTTTTAATTTTATTGTTCCATCATCCGCGCTTTACTTTTTTGTGAAGATTGCAGAAGTATGGAAGGAGTTGGGGGTGGGGGGTTGCGAGTTTTAATTTTATTGTTCCATTATCTACGCTTTACTTTTTCGTGAAGATTGCGAAAGTATGGAGAGGGGGGAGGGGTGGGGGGTGGTGTTGTTGGAGTGAGAAGTGGATGATGAGGAAAAATAAAGCCCTCACGATTGGTGAAACTAACTTGCGAGTTTTAATTTTATTATTTCACGAACTTTACTTTTTTCATGAACATTTGTGTTAGTATAGAAAGAAAGAATCATTGCAAGAGGTTGGGAGTGCTAAAGAATTTTGAAAGTCATAGAAAAAAGACAACAGATTTTAATTTCGAAGCAAATTTTCCTGTAAATTGGTCTAAATTGTTGCTTACAGACTATAAAATGAATCAGAAAATGAAATAAAGAAGATGGAGAAGATGAGAATAAGCAAGCCTTGGCTTGTCTGAGGAGATAAACTCTCTTGAAATTCATGTCTCACTTGATCAAGGATAAAAATTTCATAATGGATGAAGAAGTTCAAATCCACAAAAACAATTTTATTTATCCCATAAACTGACTTGCGTGACTTGGAATTCTCATAATTATAAATATCAATAAAAAATGTTAATTTTTTTAAACAAATTGATAATAAATTGCTAATAAATTTAGTTCATTGAATTGACCAAGTGGAATAAAATAAGTCAATCTAATTGACAAAATAGCTCCAATATCCATGAAAAAAATCAGAAATTTGGTCAGATTACAAGTTCTGCTACGTTTCTTTAGATCCATTATGTAAATCCTTAAATCATATTCATCTCGTCTCTGTTAACTCAGCTCCCATAATTGTTTCTTGCATACTAATATCACTATTACAATCATTTAACACTTGTATCTTTTATGTTATCCATGCAGATTTGTTTCTATTTTTTGTTTTCTTGAAATCAAATTAATTTTGCATAACTGGGTTTATAAATGTTTAAAAAAAATTAAATCACCAATATTTTCTTTTACTACAAACAGTGTTTTAGGTCATCTTAATGTTTCAGAATTACTATTTAAGGCCTCGCTTTCATCATGCCTTCCTAATTTTTATTTTTATTTTTATTTTTGTTCAGGCCACCCTTGGATTAGGAGTTACAACAATGTTAGAGTGCCCCTTGATAACCTCATTTTTCGACTTATGAAAGTCTACATGCGCTCATCTTCCTTGCGCAAGGCTGCTTTAAGGGTGGGTACATTTCCCTTCTGTTACGTTTGTTCTGTGGCTTATCTCTTTTTTTTTTTTTTCTCATTTGTCTGTTAAATTTGGCAGACATGAGGATGTTGCCTTACACATTTTGTATGTTGCTTTGTAGCTTGCACTTAATTTCTTTATTTTCTACTGCTACTTCCTCCAATGTTCTAATCAAATACCTCTTTGACCTTTTAGCTATAACGAATTGAACACTGTTACTGGATGGAAACGATTGATAAGCTTGTGTTTCATTAATATATTCAAAGCTTATCAATGATCAACAAGGATTCTGGTTTAAAATAACGTAATTGGATATTGAGGTGTCTTTCGTTCATGACGGAGATGCAAGTCTTAGGGTATTTTGAGACTTAAGCCTCACAATAAAAAATTTATGTAAAGTCAAAGTGAAGAAGTAATATATAAACATCTTAATCTATTAATATATTAAAAAATAACTTAATTAATATTCTAACATTGCTATAACTAATAAATTGTGCATATATTCACTAACAAATTGGGCGATGTAGAAGTGTAATACAATTATGCAAACATCAAAGTAACGGAGATATCAAATTAAAGTAAAAGATCAAATAAGTTTCTCTTGCCCATTCCTATTGTTTATCATTAAATTAAGAATATTACAAGAAATTAATTATAAGTTCCATTACTCAAGGGGTCTTCGTTAGAGTTATCATTTTTCTCTTTTGCTTACTCATCAATAGTGTCCATGTTCTCCAAACCTTCTTCCTCATTTTCTTCAATATCAACATTCTTCTTTCCTAATCAATAGTAATCAACAACAAATTAGTAATTTTACTTTGTGTGTTGGAGGGGGGTTAAGGGCCTTAGTTGGTAAGTAATTCAAGTTAAAAAAGTCATTAACTCTAATTTTTTGAGGCTTTTGCCTCATGCATACCAAGGTGAGGTCTAGTTTGTGGTGCACCTCACACTACTTTGGCATACGCGTGAGGTTTGAGGTGCATGCCTCAAAGTTAAGAAATCAGCATTGCATAATTTAATATATAGTTATTCCATGTATAGTATTTTCTTATTTCTTAGTGAATAAATTTTGTTATTTTGAATAACTTGCTAAATATCCCTATGATCTAAACTATTAATCTTTTGTAACTTCCAAGAGAAGGAAGATTATGATATGTGATTTTTAGCATGCAGAACATGTTAAAAGTTAGCCTATTCCAAACAGGGGTGTAAGCAAGTCAAGCCAACTTGAGCTCAACTCATTAATGATCATGCGAGTCGAGTTTATTGAGCTTGCGAGTTAAGCTCAACCTATGAATATGCTGAACATAACTAAGTGGTTTGAAAAGCTGGCTTTTTTATGGGACATGAAAAGAAATTTTAGGCATATTTACAAATAAACATATATAGGGTTAACATGAAAGGTTTAAAATTTTTCAAAATGAAATAGCCTAAAACTAAAAGCTCTAAATCCTATTTACTCACACGCTGACCCGTGACTCCAACTCTCAATTACCATCTCTGTTACCATTGTTTCTTCCTCAAGAAGGTTAGCAGGCCAGAGAGGTCAACTGCTCTTCTTTATCCTTCCTTTTTTCATCTCTCACTAGTGCAGCAGCCACTACATCTGCTGCAATTTCTTCCTCTTTGTTATTTTTCTCTTCCTATGTCGCCAATGCATTACCTAACAACATGATGCTGCACCTTGGGCTACTGCCCAGCTCGCAAAACCCCTCCTTCGCCTCCCTGTCACAACCTCATCTCTCCCACAACTCACAAGCTGCTCCATGAGCTTGAGCAAGGTGACGGATTGAGTTTGGTCTTTGCAGGAGAGATGCAGGAGAGATGGACTCAAGCTTTAGCTTAACCTGAAGGGATTGACTAGAATGCAACTTGACTCGATTAAACCCGTAATAGTTGGCATAAAACTAATGATGATGAACATGAAAGTGTGACTGAACACATGTTTTACTGTAAGGAGTGATTTTCAATTGCTTTGGGCATTGACTTCAATTCCTTTTATATCTTGATCATATCATGATCAACTCAAAGGAGATGAATGAGTATACCTTTAATATGTCATTTGTGCATATTGCTTGAGCAGGTTCTGAGATGATGATAATACCTAAATGAAGTCATTTGTGCATATGGCTTGAGCAGTTTCTCTGTTGTCTGAATTCCTAGCAAAATTTGTTACTTTGTATGCTCTGTATGTTATCTTTTTTGAAGTTTGAATGCGGTGGTGCTGAAATCTATAAATGCTTCAGGCCCTTTCGAAGACATTAACCATGGACGACCTTGTTTATCTTAAAGGACAGTTCAGTCTCTTGGAACCAAATAAAAATGGGTGCATAACTCTTGAAAACATCAGGATGGTTAGCTTCTTAAGTAAAAAATTTCATGTTTTATCCGTGAGCACTGGTATAATTCCTACTGTTTGATTAATTAGTGGCTGTTGGGCATGTTGGCTCCATTTTCTCCCTGACAGGCACTATTGAAACATGCAACTGATGCAATGAAGGAATCACGTATTCAAGACATACTAACCTCTGTACGTGTTTCTCTTATAGTGGATGAAATTTCTTTTTAACGTTGTACTGTTTATTTTCTTCTTACTCAAGCTTGGAGATTATTTTCTTATCTGCCAGTTGAACGCTCTTCAATATAGAAGAATGGATTTTGATGAATTTTGTGCAGCTGCATTGAGCGTACATCAGCTTGAAGGTCTTGATAGATGGGAACAGCATGCTCGTCATGCTTATGATCTTTTCGAGAAGGATGGAAATCGAGCTATAGTTATTGAGGAACTAGCTTCGGTAGGTACCTCTTATTTATGCAACTTGCAGTTCTGAGACTAAAATTTATTTGGGGCTTATTTTGTTGCTGGTAGATAACAAAACATGTTTTAAAACTGTTTATTTTGCTTCCACTCATTCTGAACTGTAAAAATAAAGTCTTCACTTTTGAAGATTTTGAAGGTTCTTACATACTTGAACATTCATGTTGATTTTGAATTGCATCCAATGAAATGATGGAATCTTAAACCATTGTTTTTCCAAACATTTTTCAACTTAAAGCAACCATATTGTCCTATAGGAGTATACTGTGATTTTGGGATCCTCACTGTCTGTCCTTGTAGCTTCTATTTCAATTGTTATTATGTTAGACCAGTCCAGCTGGTCCATATCGGACCGGCTTATGAACAATAGAGGCGGAACTCTCAGCCAATCTCCGCCAACTGCATGCCGATCAAATCACCAATTCAAAAAGAGCAGTTTTGGAATGATTTTTTATGAAGCTTAGGAGGGAAATTGAATGTAGGGACTGTTTAGAGATTTTCTTTTGAATTGTATGCATTAAATAGTTTATTTTCCTAGGATTAGGGCATCTTGAATTTGGCTCAAATTTGAGATCTCTTAGTTTTAGGTTTTTGGGCTCTAGCGGCATCTAGAGATTTGCTAGAGATTGATCCTCCTCTCGAATTTAGGATCAACTGTATCTTGCTATTTTCCGTTTCTATTTCATCAAATCATACAAATTATCTACTGTTTTCGTGATTTTGTGTGGATTTTTGTGGAGAATTCTCGCTGTTTTCCGAAGATTGATAGGAAATACTTTAGATATACAAGTGTTTCCTATCATATTAATCAAGCCATAACTATAATTTTGGTAAATGTTTTTGCCTCTGAAAAACTCTGAATGAGATGATCAACCCTCTTGAATTTTAAGCATCCGATTCAACATGCATTTACTGGTCTTCTGGTGTGTTTGATACAAATGCCATCTAGAACAATTGTTGACATTTTTTCAAGGAACAAATAGTCTTTATGTTTTTTTTTTTTTTGCTGGGATATTACTAGAGGTTACCAATTTTGGCAATTTCTTGGACAGGAACTTCATCTGAGCCCTTCAGTCCCTGTACATGCCGTTCTCCATGACTGGATCAGGCACACTGATGGCAAACTGAGCTTCCTTGGATTTCTTAAGCTATTGCACGGTCCTTCGAGCCACGCCTTCATTAAGGCGCATTAAGGCTTCGTTTGGGACGGCTTTTTTACTGCTTCTTAAAGCAGCTTTCTAGTACAAAATTTTAATTTTTATACTAGAAAATTGCTTTACGAAGCAGTAATCAAGCCATCCCAAATGAAGCCTAAAAGTCAAGAAAAAGAGCCATAGAATTAAAAGTGCTTGTAGCGAGTTAGAAAGATTGTTCACACCAAGCTGCATCCTTCTCCAGGTATAATGGTTTATATGTTTGTGGAATCTAAGTGTCCCATTCCAAATTTTCTTTCTCCATAGTTTGAGCATCAGGAAGATAATTCGTGAAGATTGTGTTATCAGAATGTAAAATGCTGTAGATGAGTATATATTCTTTTGTTTGGATCAGGATTTATCTTCATTTTTTATGATTTTCTTCCTGCTTTGTCTTTTCAGGAGTAAACTTGTACTCCCATGTTAAACGTTACTGTTGCAAGTAAATCAAAATTTATGTGCTGTTGATGCTTACTTTATCTCAACCTAACTGTTTAACATTACTGTATGTGATGCTACTTTGTTAAATTTGTGCTTGCTTCATCTTTCTCAAACTTCATGCGGCACTTATATGGATGTGAAAAAAAACAACAGCAATAATAACATCAAGCTTTTGTTCTATTATGTGGGGCTGGTTATATAATTTTTTTTTTTAATTGTTCTGTTAAAAGTCAAATTCTTGTTTAAATATACTAAGGAAAAATCATTTCTGATATTTTATAACTAAGTTTTCTTAGGTCTATCTATACATTTCTTAATATAAGTCAATCTAATACCTCTACTTTCTTAACTATGTCATTTGAAAGCCGCCGTTTTATATAATCAAATCATTTAAGATGTCTCTCTAATCTTATCTTCAATTGGAGCTATTCCAACCTTTTCATGAATATGTTCATTTTGTATCATATTTCTAAAAGTAAAGCCACTCATTCACCTGCACATCCTCATCTTTGCAACATTTAATTTAGTATTATACTTCTCTTTTAATAGCGAACATTTGCAGGTCATTTCAAAGTGAATCTAAAATATTTGAGCTACTTATATTACGCCTTTTTTTTTGCCCAAGTTTAGTAGAAAAACAAATTTCTTGGTCATGGTGTGATACGCAAACAGGAGAGGTTCAACAGAGATTTTATGTTTTTTCTATTTTAAATCTCTATTTATTTTCATTGCTATAAAATATGGTCATTCATTCCATTTCCTTATAATACTATAATTATTATGTCAAAATCTTTAATGGTACAATATATGTTGAAAATTTATGCCTTCTTTTCACTACTCATATTTCTTGATTTCTATATTATTAAGATATAACATTTAATATTTCCAAATAAATAAATAAATAAATATTCATATTATATAGGGCAGTGAAAAATAAATTTCTACAACTATTAACCAAAAAAAGTTTTAAAATGTTATTATTTGGCTAGTTCAAATATTTTTGTTGATATTTAGTGAGGGTCCATTCATATATATATGCTTGCAAAAACCCTATAAACAGGAAAAATTCTCAAAGAAATAAAACAATTTCGTTGAAGCACAATACACAATTTTGTCATATATCTATTTACTGTCAAATCCAATTATCTGTAAAAAGAACTGAAAAACAGATCGTAATCTTATTATCATTAGTAGGTCAAAAAATTTAACTAAGTAGTGCACTACTAAAGATTTCGCCAGTTTTAGTGTAGCATTGCAGTTCAAAATTTTAGATGATAGATCTAATTTATCTATAGCTAAGAAGCTGACTGCTTATCAATCACTAAGTCTAAAGCTGATTACAATGGAATTCTACCATCTTGTGTTAGCTTCTTGTGGATTCCTCAATTCAAGAGTAGAACTCTGGTTTGGAATTTGGATAAATTCCTTCAGTTCACTTGCTGTTGGTTCCCATAGATAGGATAAGCTCCATAAGCTGCAGCATACATCATGGGATCATGAGGTGGAAGGGAAAACCCGTAGCCGCCGCCACCGCCGCCGCCGTACATTTGAGGCCCATAATATAAATTGTTCCATGAGCTGCTCAGATCAGCTCGCAACTGGCAAAACGTTGAAGTAAACGAGTGAATTAGCAATCATAGCTTTAATGGAATCATTAACCTACCAATGAATATAGGTAAGAAATGCCCTTCATTAATGGACAACACTCCCAGGTGATTCTCACAATCTACAAATTAACATTTTGTAAAAACCCAAACCCTAAAGGCTTAAATGATTAAAGCTTTTTTGGATTAGTGGTTTGATGGAAGTGAATGTAAATGGAGAAATTATTCTGTGCAGACACCGGACGCAGAACACCGTCCGGGGACCAACCAGAATGCGCCATGTCAACGGTACCGAGCAGTACTGAGCCGTGGTACCGAGCAAAGGGGTGACATGGCACATTCTGGTTGGTCTCCGGACGGCTTCGGCGTCCGCACAGAATAATTAATCATAAAAATGACTTCATAAAGCTGATTGCAAATGTGCTGCATATGCATTTCGGTTTTCGGTAAACTTGGTAATATCAGCACAGGATAGAAAATGAGGAGAGTAGGCAAAATGACCCAACATGCCTATACTTTTCTTTTTCAAGGTTGAGTATCAAAGCACTAATTTAATGTTGGCGTGATTCGATCCCAAGACATTGGGCTTAAGGTTTCAAAGTCTTTATCAATGGCAGTATACTCAAGCACTTGCTTTGAGTTGGTTGATTTTCCTGCTATCAGACAAGAGGGCAATACATCACCTAAACAAACCCTAGGAATGGAGTAGGGAGTACTAATCCTACCCTACTGGAATAAAAATTACACCATGTACATATCTCACATTGGTCTATTGGTTGGGAGCTTAGGTCACCAAGTAAGAGGTCTCGGGTTCGAGTCCGGTGTATTCGTGGTGTGTGAGGTTGCCTTAATTGATCTAAATGTCAAAAAAAAAAAAAAAAAAAAAAAACACTACGTCACATGCGGAAGATTTGCTTTTACATTAAAAATGGCGGGGTATATGGTATACTTTTTTCTAGATTTAACATACCTTATAAGGGCTATATTTATCATTGTATGAATATAAAACAACATATGTTGCTACACTAAGCATGTCATTAACCAATATAATTGAAAGCTGAAAAATGATTTAGTACTGTTTTAATGAATAAAAAAAGGATTGATGTAGGGGAAAAAAAGGTAAGGTTTATCATCATATTTGGATATTTGATCAGGTTTTAGAGTTAGTGCTAATTGACACTTGTAACCTTAGAACAGCATATCAAAGAAAACAAAAAAAGGATTCGATTGATGTTGTACCAAAGACTCAGGTAAAAGTAGAGCACGATTCAAAGAATACAAACCTGTTTATTTGCAGGGTTGCGACCCCAGGACAGGCGTACTGGCTGCTTTCCAATAATTGTTCCATTCAATGACTGCAATGCTTCCTCCGCATTATTCCTGTCAAAAGATCCAGAATCAATCAATTTAAACAGAACAAAAGAATAAAATAAATGCGCTTGTTCAGCTTCTACTAAATCATAATTGAATAAAAAAGTTTAAAGAAATTTACCTGTGAACAAACTGCACAAAACCACATTGTTTCCCAGATGGAATTTTCACAGAGGCAATATCTCCATACAGAGAAAAAGACTGCCTCAATTCATCTTCACTAACAGCAGGATCAAGCCCACCAACAAATACCTAAGGCATTCAAAGATCACCAATACTGCATTCAAATTATATACTTCTATACAACATTAAGCTCTCAAAAGGAAGAGATTACGGTTGTATTTGTTGAATCTCCATCGGGCTGAAAAACTTGCACGGATGAACCGTTGGAACCAAAAGCACCTAGAATGAGAATTGTATAATACATATAAAACAACATAAATAACAATTATTAGAGCCATGAATCGTACAATTAACTGTTTAAATAAGCCTCTGCTCTCATGAAGGCCATATTACTGGCATGTTTTTCCTTTTTATTTTATTTCAGCTTCAGAATACTTTTTTTTCCTCGTATGCAGTTTGCAAGTAGTTGATAAATTTTTATTTTCACTCGAATGGTTCCACCCAACCCCAAAGAAAATTCCTTTTACAGATTTATTTGTTGCGGCTATCGTCCGGACGTAACTCGGATGTAGAGTTACGTCCGGACTCCAATAAAAATATAACACGTGTCCTTATACATAATGTGTATATTATGTATATAAATTTGTACACACTATGTATATAATTTTATAATTTGTGTATTGTGTGTACAGTTGTACACACTGTGTACAAGGACATGTATTGCGTTTTAATTGGAGTCCGGATACGTAATAATTTCTCCCTTGTATGAGTGATGAGGAAAGGGGCGGGGTTACGGACTTTTGCGACTGGGGTTGCTGTTATCTCAAAAAAAAAAAGCTTGGGAATCAATAGCCATTAATGCAAATGTGAGAATTACAAAGATGATTTAAATTGTAGGCTTTGCAATCAGATAAACTCTTATTTGCCGAGTAGTCCAGCGAATGGACCAAGATACAGCAAACGACAAGCACAAACCTGCAATTACTTCTTAAGACAAACAAGTAAGCCAACAAAAAAACAACATTAGATTTAGCGCACACAAAAAACGAACAGACCTTGCTAATTGTTTTGATAGCAACTAGGAATTTTGACTACATTCGTCAAGTAATTATCCAACAAATATTCCAATAAAAGCTTGATCATGATCACAAAAAAGCTACGTTAAAAAAAATATTATACTTGACTCGTGTAAGCTTTAAGCACGAAAATATGTGGCTATTAAAAAGAAAAGCGTTGTTATCATGCAAAATTGAAAAGGAAATTATTTAAATAAAGCTAAAATATTAATTTGTAGGTGGCACATGACATCGATTGATGTTTCATAGAATAATGAATCACAAAACCATAATTCTTTAAGAAAATGATGACATCAATTGGAAAAGTTCAGATAGTGTTCATAAACCGTTCAAATGCTTTCTAGAGACGCTTAAACTGATGGATATATGAAACTTACTTGAAAGAGAACGATAATAAGATTTAGGTGTTTTTTCAAGAGATATCAGGAGTTGTTTTAGCCTATTAATATCTTCTTTATTGAGTTCTCTGGAGTTGGACTGTGTTTCTGAGCTGAGCTAAGTTGTAGTGTTAGCTTGTGATGTCCTTTTATTTTGTTCACTTTTTTTTATTCCACTTCTTACTTGGGGGCTTTCCAAATAACTTCTAATAGTTCTCATTTATATGTCTTAATTTCTTGCAATAGTTACACCAAAGGGAGTATTTATCGTCTTTAGATTTTGAGGAATCCTTAACTCTTTCCTTTCATAGTGCCTCTTTGGTTGTCACCATTGTTGAAGCTTCAATAGCCTTTGGTTCCAGCATTACCATTCGTCGGCTTTCCTCAGCACGAATGAGAGAAATTGTATCATTTAATGAAGGTGTCTCCTCTTTGCCAAGGATCTGAACTCTAACCTTGTCAAACTCCGTATTTAATCATACAAGAAAATCATACACTTTATCTTTCTCAATAAAGATTTTAGGATTACAGCATCTTTTAGACATTTGGTCTCTATACATCTGTAGTGATTAAGTTCTTGCCACAAGCCTTAAAGGGCAGTGGCTTAACCTTGACCTTAATTTCTTAAGTGTAAGAGTGACATGAGCCCAATTGTAATAACCAACTGTGGGGATATCGTGGGGGTTTGGAGACAGCAATGGATACATGCAAAAGTTCATGAAAATCTTAATAAGTAATTTCTACGGGGCGTCGACAAACTTCGAATTGTAGTGAAGTGCGTTCGACATTGATTCTAAGACTTACACAAATTTCAAAAAGTAGTTTATTATTGAAGGGAAAGGAAAGTGTATGAATAAGATGAAGGGTAGTACCTGTGAAGAGATCTAATACCTGATAGTGAATGTGTTCCTAGTTGATAATCTTAGATGGCGTGATTTTAGCGGGCTCTATATCAGTGGTAGGCAGCTTCATCATCCAAGGATTGGAACTTATAGTCTACTTGGGACGAGAGGAACTTCCGAGGAGAACTCGGGCTCTCTTGTCTTCCATCAGGATGACTAGGGACAAAGATTTGAGAGAATGGAAGAAGAAGATTGAGAAGGTCGTGTGCTTTAGCAATGATATTTTCCTTCCCTTATGTAGGCTATGTTCATTCGTATAGTACAATCAAGATTGTATTGAACGATCAAAATAAAATAAATCATCCCGTTCAAATAATACAAAGACCAGGTTAAATCGTACAGCACGATCAAGAATAGTACAATATGATATTCATCTTTTCGTTCATCTTGAGGAGTCGGCTTTACGATCTTCGACTGAATTGATCATTTAGTATGAAGAAGTGTTTTGTAGTACGATGTGTAATAACTAGAGGTCGACTTGTAAGTTTTTGTATGGAGATTAGGTTTGTGGATAATTGAGGTACGTGAAGCACATTTTTTAGAGTGAGAGAGAGGTATGTCCTTGGCCTGCTACTATGATAAGAGAACCATCAATAATGATGACTTTCTTATCAGTCGGGTAAGGAGTATCATTGATGAAGTCGGTAATGGAGTATGTCATGTGATATATAGCTCCTAAGTTAATGATCCATAAATCTTTCAAATGCTATCTAGAGACACTTAATTCGATGGATATAGGAAACTTACTTGAAAGTGCAATAGAATAAGATGCAAGTGGTTTTTCTAGGGATACTAAGAGTTATTTTAGCCTATAAATATCTTCTTTGTTGAGCTCTCTAAAGCTGGATTGGTTTCTGGGCTGGGCTGACTTGTTGTAGTGTTAGCTTATGATGTCCCTTTATTTTGTCCCCTTATTTTATTTCACTCCTTACTTGAGGGCTTTCCATGTAACTTCCAAGATGTCTCATTTGTGTTTCTTGATTTCTTACAATAATTGCACTAAAGGAAGTTTCTATTGTCTTTAGGTTTTGAGGATACCTTATATATTTTCTTCAATGGCGCTTCTTTGGTTATCATCATTGTTGAACCTTCAACAGCCTTTGGTTCCAGCATTACCCCTTGTCGGCTTCCCTTAACATGAATGAGAGAAATGGTGGCATTTAATGAAGGTGTCTCCTCTTAGTCAAGGATCTGAAATCTAACATTGTCAAACTTTGCATTAATCCTACAAGAAATTCATACATTATATCCTTCTCAATAAAGCTTTTCAGGATTGCAGCATCTTCTGGATACTTGGTCACTATAAATCTGTAGTGATTAAGTTCTTTCCACAAGCGTTAAAGGGGAGTGGCATATTCAATCACGATCTTGCTTCATTGTTTTGTGCTTCCCACCTTGATCTTAATTTTAAAGACATGAGCAGCATCCCGAGCTGTTGAGAAGGTTTGCCAGGCAGCACCCCATATGTCCTTTGTTGTGGATAAGAAAATGAAAGTATCCCTAATTTTTGGAGTCATAGAATTTCACAACCATAACATAATCAAGGAGTTCACTTCATCCTATGCCCAAAAATTAGGATCTCCTTCTTTTTGTCCTAGCCCAGGGAGGTGTTCATCTTTCCTTTTTCTTTGAACTAAGTTCACAAATTGAGACAACTTCAAATAAATTTTCCCATTTAAGCGATAGAGATGTTGCTACTTTGGAGGTCTCCTTTTCCTTGTTGCACCATAGAGTCCTCCATTTGGTTAAAGCTTTTGAAAGAATAAGCTTCAGACATTACGGTGTCAAAGAGTAGCGATGCAAACTATATCAATCAAGCCAACAAGGTGCAGTGCAATAATGAAGGCAGTGTTGGTTATAAATAATATTCAATATTATGATTTTGAGTTTGCAGATTATTTAAGGTAGAAGATATATTGAATTTAGAATGAAAATAGTCATTCTCTCTCTAAAAAGAGAAAATTCCTCATATCTATGGGCGTGCCTTTGCAGTGAAAGCTACAATGCTCTTATCCTTTGCTCTTGATTGAAGTGACATGTAATGAAAAGTACAAACAAAAAGCCATAATTCATAAGAACACCTACATACTTATCGTGGCCATAACAATGAATTACATATCAGAAAGCAGATACATACAAATTAAGCAAGAATGAGTAGATCATGATAAATGAATGGGAACCATCAAGAGTGGCATTTAGAAAAGCTTAGCATAAGCAAAAATATACATGGCTTACTTGACTTTCTAGGCGTTGCAGCACCAATGCGCATAGGTCTACTGGAGCAATATACACCATTCATATCAGTCATGGCGTGTGCTTTTTCATTATCGTCTCCAAATCTAACGAATCCATAACCTTTAGAGCGGCCAGTGTTTACATCAATAACAACTTTGGCGCCTTTTACTGATGTGTATCTGCTAGCAAACAGTTCTTGCAATATGTTATCGGTAACATCAGAAGCTAAATCACCAACAAATATTGAATGATCAGAAGTAGTATCTGAACGCCTATCACCCATGCTAAATGATGCCCAATTTAATCGAAACGGGTGATCTGCATTTGGCATTAGATGACCATTGAATGTCTGCAACACCTTTTCAGCTGCAGCATGGGTAAAAAATTCTACAAAACCATATCCCTCTGACTGTCCTGTCTGCTTATTTCGGATAACTTTAATAGCAACAACCTGTACAAAGTTCATAAAGCAAAGTGATTAGTGAGCATCAAAGATCGGCCAAAATAAGGGAACAATGTGATCCAACGGCTAAAATTCTCCCTAAAAGAAGCAGCATTCCTAGTAACCTTACGTAAGGTTCTTGATTATTTACTTTTCAATACAGGTAAGAAGCAAAGGAAGATATAATTTTCAGGCTACACAAATAATAAATAAAGAAAAACACTACATTGAAGTGGCTTGCATAATTTATCAAAGCAACCTCTCCAAAATATAACATCTTAAAACATTTTTTTCTCAATTATTGACCTTAATTAAAATAAAAAAAAATAAAACCAATCTTAGAAAACACAGTAGATTTAGAAAAGACAATTCTCATAAAAGGAGATAGTTCAAGGACATTGGGTGAAATGTTGACAATGTCATAAGGATAATAGTGAATAGGTTGCTAAGAGAAAATTTTTTAGATGGGAAGGATTAATGATGGGGCGATTTCTATTAAGAAAATTATCAATGAGGACAATCTAAATGTCGTTGGTGCTTATACTCCTCTAGTTGAATTAGAAGATAGTTTTAAAAAGTAATTTTGGAAAGAGATGAATGAACAACTTTAATGGCATATATGACGAAGAAAAGATATCTAATAGGATGTGCTATGAGAGGATACTTGATGAGTATGAAATAGGAGAAATAAATGTAATGGAGAAGCTACACTTAATTTTGCATTAGCATGTGACCATTGAGTAACGAAGATAAGAAACAAGAAAAGCAATTAGTTACTTAAAAAATGGTGAAATATAGATAAAATAAGGAGGATCTACATATGATATTTATTGATTTAGAGAAAGCATATGATAAAGTTCCTAGAGAAGTGCTATGGAGAGTTCTTGAAAAGAAATGAGTTAATAATGCTTATATTCAAATCATTAAAGATATGTATGCATGAGCTATTGCTTGTGTTCAAACACAAGGTGGTTTGACTAAGTATTTTCCTATTTCGGTTGGATTACATCAAGGATCAGCCTTAAGTCCATATATATTTGCTTTAGTCATGGATGTTCTCACTAGACATTTGCAAGAGGATGTACCTTAGTGTATGCTTTTTGCTGATGATATTCTTCTTCTCGATAAGACTAAAGAGGGAGTTGAAGGTAAACTTGAATTATGGAGGTCGACCTTAGAGTCTAAAGGTTTTCGCTTGAGTATATCCAAAACTGAATATATGGAGTGTAATTTTAGTAGCAATAGACCTAGTGAGGGGATTGTGACTTTGGGCAATCAAGTCATTAATAAGAGTACACATTTTAGATATCTTGGCACTATTGTTCAGAGTAATGGTGAAATAGATGGGGATATTATCAGCAGAATTCAAGTTGGATGGTTGAAGTGGAGAAATGCTTCGGGCTTGTTGTGCGATAGAAAAGTCCCTCAAACTTAAGGGAAAATTCTATAAGATTGTGGGGAGACCTGCAATGCTTTATGGTGTTGAATGTTGGCCATTAAAAGAGAAGCATAATACTAAGTTAAGTATTGCAGAGATGAGGATGCTTAGGTGGATGAGTGGCTTTACCCTTAGAGATAGGATGCGAAATGAGCATATATGTGAAAAGGTTGGAGTAGCTCCAGTGGAAGATAAGATTAGAGAGAGTCGCCTTAGATGGTTTGGCCACATTAAACGGAGGCCTTCCGATGACTCTGTTAGGAAAGTTGAGGTATTAAATTTGACTTATGTTAAGAAAGGTAGAGGTAGACCTAAAAAGACTTAGTTAGAAAATATTAGAAATGATATTTGTTCATTAGATTTAAATGATAATTTAACTTTTAACAAGACAATGGCGAAAAAGGATTCATGTAGCTGACCCCACGTACTGGGACAAAGGCTTGATGTTGTTGTTGTTGTCAAAGGCTAAAAAGTTGAAATTGAGGCATAAAATAAATGAAACAATCAAAGCGATCGAATATAAAAGTTTTTAATTGATTTGAAATCTGCCATAAAATTTATTCAAGGCTGAAAGGTCTAGCGCTGACCAAGTTCTATCCTACCCCAATTTTGATACTTCTTATCTGATGCACTATTTTGCACACAATCACATGTCATGACTAAAGTTTTGATCCCTTTTTATTTGGATTTTTTTTTGTCTTTGTAATTATCAGGAGAAGTGAGGACATTTTGGTTGTATTATTGCTACCAGAGGCAAACCACGAATTGCCCAATATCAAATGGTAGAAGGACACTGTGCTCATATTTTAGAGATGTTGAACATAATGTTTTGCATATAGCATCTAAACATGGAATGTTAGAAAATACTTTTATAAAAGAAAAAGCATGTAAAACAAAGAATCCAAATGAAGCCTAAATTGAGTATTATAAAAATAAGAATGTTAAGATAGCTATATGACAAAACTAGTAAGGATAAACAAAAACATGATCTTAAAGCAAGAGTTGAAGCATCATTTATTGAAAATAAGATAAGTAAAAATAGACAGGTGACATGGAGATGTATGATGAAGGATAAAAAATGCAAGATGAGTGGATAATATTCATGTTGGAGGATTGTGAAGGAGATAAGTAGACATAAGATAACATGGATAGAGCATGTTCAAAATGATTTGAGAAGAATGGATTTAGCACCGCAGGAAATGCCCGATGGGCATAAATGAAACATGAGGATTTACCAGCTAACACAAAATAGTTGTGATAAGGTCACTAACAGTTTTTATGATAATGATGTTGAATTCTTCACAAGAATAGACATCTAATGATTTCTTGGTTGTAATGCATAATGTTAAGCCGGAAATATCAATATATCAATGTTATACGTCCAAAGAAATAAACATAAGTGTGATATGCACCAAAATAACTATTCCTGAAGAGTTTTTTGCAATTCAAAGCTACACCCTGCCATGGCCTGAAGTTTCATTTAGGACTATACAAGAAAGATTTATGCATTGGCTATGTTGACAATGAATAGAGCAGCAACCACATTACATAAATGGAACTGGTTAACTAAATGAAAAAAAAAAAAAAGTTTTCTTCATAAAAAATGTGGCCGTTGAAGTAAAACATAAAAAATGTGGCCATGTTGGGTAAGTCATTAAGACAGTGGACACGTAAATTCAATGTGATGAGAATGTTTGCAGCAGTTCATGCCACTGTTCCAATAAATTGATCTCAAATTAGTTCACAAATTGCATCAGCAGCCAGAACTATGAAGATCACACAAGTTAATTTCTCTAATCAACTATTATTAATTGAACTCACACAATCCACATGTCCAACTTCAGCTAAAATAAATCACCAAGAATTCATAAATCCAAAGTTAAAAGACAATGTTTGTCAATCAGCAATCCCAATTGAGATTTATTATCCAATATTAACTTTCTAAAACTAGATTTTATAACTTATCTGACACACTAAAGGCGAAAAATTAATGTCAATTAAAAATCAATTACAACCTGTCGACATAAACACTTCAGAATGAAAATATCATGTTGCCCTTTATTCAAGCAAACCTGTCGACATTGTATTCCTCTTCGTTTTTCTTCAACTTTCCTTTAATTTGGATGTGGGAGAACTGCTTATATACTAATGATGCCATGCATTCTCCAGTAATCAAATTGAATCCTTACTAAAATTAACATATTATATAATTGAACCTGCCCCCGTTCAATAGTTTTCAATCAAAACCCTTTTTAATGGTTTTAACTTTATTAAATGTTCATCATTTGAACTTCTTGAACGAGTCTTCTTCCTTTTTATACATCTATAAGTTTACAAAACCTGGCAAACAATATGCATCATTTATCTTAATTATGAAGTCATGTATATACCCAAGAAGTCAAATATAAACTCAAGAACAGATATAAGCGCAAGGTAAGCATAAGACAAAGAATGATGATGCCCAAATGACAAATTTTTTACCTCGCCGGTGTGGCCAAAGCAGCTATGGAGGTAATTCTCATCCATCCAATAATGGAGATCACCGACCCAGATCGACTTGTTCTCCTCGCTCGACGAAGGACCCAACCCACCCATGGCCGTCTGCGACGGCGCCGGCTGGTGGTACTGCGGCGGCGGCGGCGGGTATGTAAGATAGTGCGGTGCGTACTGTGCCGGCGACGGAGGCACAACTCCCATCATCTGCTGCTGCATAGCCATCGCCGCCGCCGCTGCAGCTGCCGCTGGGTACTGCATCGGCACCCACGGCTGCGGCAAGGGTTTGTTCTTCTGATGCTCTCCACCGGCAGCCTGCGGCTGCATCATATCGGGCAAGTTTCAATATAAGACGAGAGATTCCGAGAGAGATGGTGAGAGAGAGAGTGGTGAGCGATGAGGGCCGGGTCGCAATGCGAAAATAGCAAAGCCAGAGAGAGAGAGAGAAGCCCGTGGATTTGGGATCATCAAATACCAGAGGGCGGCTTCGAAACGAGTTTGATCACAGCTGTTGGAGATGAAAGGATTAGGCGACAACAGCCGTTGGATTGTGTCAACCGTGTTTGGCGACGCGGTAGACGAAATCCGCGTTTGTGCCGGTTACAGCACGACCTCAGGCGGTTAGCCCCTGCCCCCTCATGTTACACGTCCAATTAAAATTTTAAATAAAAATAATAATATCAAACTGCTTACGAGAAAATAAAAAAAAAAAATAATAAAAAAAAATTTTAGATGGGAAAGAACGATATGAAGCCCGCAAGTTTTGTTTTCATTAATTTTCTTATTACAATAGGAAAAAAAATCCATAGTGAGCAATAAAAAAAGAAAGGGCATTTTTTTTGGTAAATTTTTTTATTAGAAGATCGATTTATTGCTGAAACATTTGCATTATGCATTATATCAGAAAAAGTAAGTACACGAAAAGGGCAAATAAAAAGGCCCTGAGAATGACTATGTATACTCAAATCATTCCTAAGGATATCTAAAAAATCCAGAGGAATGTTTTGAGAAACTAAATCAGAAAAAAAAACCAAACAAAATTACAATCAATTGCCCTTCGGGCACAAAAATGGGATGCACAATTGAATCTCCTATTCACATGTTTAAAAATGACATTTTGGAAAAGTTTGAGCCAACTGAAATTCTCCCAAAACTAAGGCCGAGAACTCCAGCATTGCGGTTTTTGGCAATTCTTAAAAATATGAACAATGTATGCATTGTCACTGTCAATGATACCCCTGGATTACGACTGATATAGTACATTGCTGGGAGCTCAACAAAGGAGCTATCCCAATGCACAATACCCCGCCCAGCGGCCACAATCGGATTTCCATCTTCAATATATCATAACAAAAATAACGATAGTATTCTACTATATGGGACCAGCTACATGAATCTTTTCTCTCAATATATCATATTAAGAGTCAAATTCTCATTTAAGGTTTAATTTGGGGTAGCTTTCTTAATATTTTCTAATTCAACTTTTTAAAATAAAATTTTTTAAGTAACGAAACAACAGTAGTCAAAACTGTCCCAAACAAAGTCTATATCTAATAAAAAAATTAATACTTTATAATCAAGGTTTTTTTAAGTCTACTTTTACATTTTTTTTAACATGGGTTGAATTTAATACATCAAATTTGATACGTCACCAAAAATCGATTTGATCGGGCACAAAACTCAGGGCATATTCAGATTGAAAACTTTTAAAAATGAATTCGGGACCATATGAACTTCAATTTCAGCAAACATATCTTCGAACCAAATGTCTCAACGAGATAAATCCAACAACATCAAAATTGATCAAGTCTAATCCCAAATGACCCAAATCAAATGCTTGAAGCATCTTTGGAAGTTTTAAAATATTAATTAGGTGATCAAATGATATTCAAATATAACATATTTATAGTCAAATCGAGCGACTTGATGAGACAAGCCAACGAGCCCACGGTTGCTTGATTTTGATATCATTTAGACACATAAATGCTAAAGAAACACTCCCTGATTCAGGAATCAATATGGGTTGTTTGATGGAGCACTCCGAATTTGCTCCAAATATTCTTCATATTTATAGGGTATGCCACCCCAATAAATTTATAAATAAGCCCAACACATTGTCTTTGCATAAGGAGGAGATTGGGGCCTTGGGATATAGATCCAAGAGAGCTTTGAAGCTTGAAGAATCTTGGAGCTCCATACGAGCACCATCGCCTCCAGACTTTCACTAGTTGATTGTCATCGGACCTCAACTCAGCCGCCACCACCAAGCCTCAGGCTAGTCGTTGCCGCCAAACCTCCATGTCAACTAACCTCCGTTCGGCCTCCTCTGTCAGGCCTCTACTCAACCATCGTCATTTGACTTTCATCTGGCCACGATCATCATAACTTTTGTCTCCTGACCACTGTTTTCAAACCTTCCATCGACTATACCCTTCAGATTACCGTTAACCGTAGTCAACTACGGTCATCAAACCAACATTGTCCAAACATGGTCCTTCCGACATCTATTGCTCGCCAACTACTATCCTTGGCCACCGTCCGCCAAATATGGTCATCATACCACCATCACCAAAACTACAGTCCTCCTAAGCTCAGTCACCTAACGACTACAATCCCTTCAACTAACATCACATAGCAATGGTTCTTCATACATCAGTTGCTCAATTATGGTCCCTTCAACCTCCATCACCCAACCATGGTCAATTTGACCTCTGTCATTGGCTGACTATGGTCCCCATACCACTGTCGCTTGAGTATAGTGTGATGCCCCTAAATCTAATTTAAAAGAATTCTTTCTTTTATCTTTTATTAGCAATAATTAGAACTATTTAATTTTATTTATCATTAATAAAATCAAGTATTAGTGGAAACAAATTCTACTGATTAAAATATTCATATGCATCTCTATTCATTTATCCAAAATTATATACAATACTTATGAATCATATAAATATAATTTATCATTTCAATCCTGATTACAAAAGAATAAATATATACAAAAAAATGACTAATAGTAAATCTGAAGAAACTTGATCAGCCTTACACTCCTAATCCTCTGCACTGACATAAAATTATTGAAACAATATATAGTGAGCCAAATAGCCCAATATGTCACCAAATCCTACAACTGAACCAAAGCATAATAAAGAAGCATTATGCATGTCTAATCAGTTCAATACTAATAACAATCATATGATCATGAATCAGTGGAAAATGATAAATTTCACATATAGTAGTAATAGAGTAGATAAATAGTAAAATATTATGATACGGAAACCAGTAAAGCAGTACAATATAAAATTATTAAACCAGTAAATATCTCAAAACTATAAACAGATGTCGGATAGTTCTATCAATCTGTGACAATCTGTAAATGAGTCATATACATCGATAAAATTAAAGCATCGATAAAGACTATCGTAAATTATATCAATACAGTAAATTAAGAGTAGCAATGTCAATGTAATAAACTAACAACAATATGCTTAAATAGAAATACTTATTTCTATTCAGGAAAAATCATACAAACTTCAATAACTTCTATTTTACTTGTAAAATTTAAAAATATTACAGTCAAAATTTTCAGAATAATCATTATGATATCATATATAAAGTCACGAAGTAGAAGTTTAATAAATCTGGATAAAATGCAATAATATCAGTTCCAGAGAGAATTAAACGATTCAAATTAAAATATTTGAAAACAGAAGTAGAATCAGAGTTACATTCCACAATATGAGCAAGTTCAACAAAAATAGCGAAGTGATCTGACTGCTAAAATCAACTTTTCTCTTTTTTTCTCTCTCTCTCCTCTTTCCTTTCATTTATCATCTTCCTTTTTTGACAAGACATGGCGCTGAAATTCAGATTTTTCATTTAAAAAATTTATTTCGAAAATTTTGGTTATCACATATAGTCCTCGGACTACCATCATTTGACCACAGTCTTTCAAACCATATACGATCCTCAGACCACCATCACCTCATCCGATTGCGATCCTTCTGATCTCAATCGACTGCCGACTACGATCATCAAATTTCCATAGTCCACTGACTACAGCCCTTAAACTACAATCACCTGACACTACAGGAAAAATGTCAAAATCACGCAGTTACTATAGATTAACCGGCGGTTTTATGGATTACCGGCGGCTTTGCGGCGGTATTCCCGCCGCCGAAAAAAATCGCGTAGGAAACATGTACCGGCGGTTTTGTACCGGCGGTTTATGTTGGCGGCGGTTTTCCGGCGGTTACGCCGCCGGTTATCTGACCGACGGCTGACCGGCGGTCATATTACCGACGGCCTTCCGGCGGTTAAAGCGGGCGTCGTTTGTTTCTTAAACCGCCGGCAAGCGCCGTAGATCGTCGGTTCATTTACCGGCGGTATCTGGCGGTTATAGCCGTCGGTATTACCGTCGGCGGCGGTCAGATTGGGGTCCGCGGTCAGAGTAGATTTGTCGGCGGCCGTCGGACGAGCGGAGGCGAGCGTAGGCGACGACAGAGCGACCGAGAGAGAGAAGGAAAGAGTAAAAATGAAATGCGAGGCGCGGGTTTGGTCGTATTAGGGCTTCTACCGGCGGCTTTCCAGAAAAATCACTTATCAACGGCGGTCCAAGCCGCCGGTAAACCGCCGGTTCATATTGATGTCCGGCGGTTTACCGTTGGTTTAGGGACCGCCGCTAGTACCGGCGGTTTAACATAGCAAAATCATCGGTTAGGCCGCCGTTAAAAGCTGGCGGTCACACCGCCGATAACACCGGCGGTCCATGAACCGCCGGTTAGAACCTCCGGTAATGGGCATTTTTCCTGTAGTGTGATTATGATTCATCCAACCTCGATTACTCACCAACCATGATGTAATACCCATCATCTGAAATTCAGGTAATCTTCTAGTGAAGATCATCAAGTTTAAGTTAATTAGTAAGTATGAGTCTTAGAATGTTTATTGGATTAGTTGGTAACCAAGCTTTGGATTCTGAGAAGTAAAAATCTAAGATATAAAATTTGATCTATGAGCGCCACGGTGCTAGGGGTGTTGGCCCCCTGGTTTTGAGATCTTAGTTTTTTGGACAAAAAAATAGGTTTTGGTTAGGGGTGTCAATATTTGACACGACACGAAAACCCGACCCGGAAAATCCGGGTTGAACCCGACCCGATTTCAAAACGGGTCGGGTTCGGGTTCCAGAAATCGACCCGTTTCAAAAACGGGTCGGGTTCGGGATGACCCGGCGGGTTGCCGGGTCAACCCGCCAACCCGTTTAATTCAAAAATTTCGAATCTCCCGCCCTCTGCCCGCTGCCCCCGCCCCCTGCCCGCTGCCCGCTGCCCCGCTTCCCCGCTGCCATGTCGGGTCATGTCGGGTCAACCCGGCAACCCGCCGGGGCGGGTCCGGGGTCGGATTTATATTAAAATATCTCAAATCACTTGCACTAATCTCATTCCCAACCAGCCTTGCGGAGAAGAAAGT